CCTGGGCTTTCAGGATTCAGCCCTGGCCAGAGTCACAACATTGGCCTCTGCAAGTTGGTCTGAGCCACCTACTAGCATCTCAGGTCCAGACTGCACACCTGTGACTGGTAAGGGACTTCTCAGCCACCACCGTAATTGCGTGAGCCAGTTTGCCTCTTATACACCTAGATACATATCCAATTGGTTCTGTCTCTCTGGAGAATACCAATAGAGGTGTTTTCTTTCTGTCTGTCTGTCTTTCTTTCTTTCCTTCCTTTTTTTTTTTTAATTTTGAGACAGGGTCTCATTATGTAGTTCAGGCTGGCCTCGAACTCATAGCAATTCTGCCTCAGTTTCCCAAATGCTGGGATTACAGGCGTGCATACAGTATTATGACCACAGCAACTCCACATTCATTCTATCCTGCAGCCTCGCAGGCAACTTCCAATCCCTTGTTACTCTTTCCCACATTTTAAGATAAATTCAGAAGGCTGAGGATATGGTCGGGGGTAGAGCTTTTCTCTGCATGCACAAGGCCCTAGGTTCAATCCCCAGTACCACAAGAAGAAGAAAAAAAAGGCCAGAATCCTTCCTATGGCCACCAGATCCCACAGGACCTGATCACAGTGAAGCAGAAGTTTAAAGCAACAAAATGCCAAAGAATATTTGTATGGGAGATAACATAAACGTTTTAAGCAAAGTGAACTGTGCAGGGCACACTGCCACATGCCTGTAACCCAGCTGCTTGGACGACTGAGGCAGGAAGATCTCAAGGTCTAGCCTACCCCTGGAAAGATAGTAAGACCCTGTCTCAAAATAAAATAATAGGGCTGGCTTTAGCCCAGTGGTTCCTTCGAGTCTAGCTTCCCAACTACCTGGGCCGATTGGTCCAGTGGTTTGAGACCTGCGGGCGCTCTCCAGTCCTTTTAAAATAAATAAATAAATAAATAAATAAATAAATAAAATAAGGTGGGCATGGTAGCACACACCTGTAATCCCAGCATTCAGGAGGCTAAGACAAAAAGATTGTCACAAGTTTGAGGCCAGCCTGGGCTACACAGTGAGTTGAAGTCCAGCCTGTGCTACCAAGTGAGACAGTGTCTCAGAAATAAAAACAAAAAGAGATCAGATACTTCATAAGGACCCATTCATTTTTCAGTAGCATAGGAGTGAGGAGCAAAGAAAAAGAAGAAAAAAACTTAAACCAAAACAAGAGGGTGGCTTTATCCAGTGATGCTGCTTGTATGATGTGAGATAAGAAATACAATAAACTCAGCTCTGTGCTCCTGAGGACCAATAAAGAATGTGCAGAGGACACGAACAGGCAACTTACAAGGAAACACAATGGTCCATCAAGAAGGAGGTTTAGGCAGGAAAATCTTGTGTTTAAGACCAGCCTGGGGGCCAGGGATTTAGCTCAGTGGCACAAGCACCTGCCTGGCAAGCACAAGGTCATAAGTTCAATCCCTGGTACAAATAAAAAAGACCAGCCTGGGCTACACAGTAAGACCCTCTCTCAAACATGCCAAAAAGGAAAAAAGAAAATGCAAACTGGGTGTGGTGGTGCCTCATGCCTGTAATTCCAGCTACTCTGGAGCCTGCTGCAGGAGGATCACGAGTTCCAGGCCAGCCTGGGAAATTTAGCAAGATTGTCTCAAAATCAAAAATAAAAAACTGAGGATATAGCTTGCTTAATATGCTAAAGCCCTCTCCAGTACTGTGAAAAGAAAGAGAGGAGACAGAGAAACAGAGACAGAGACAGAGTGAGACAGAGAGACAGAGACAAAAAGAGAGAGAGAAAGGAAAAACACAAATCTCACAAGTAGCACCAGGGAAGTCAACTTTTAGTAGCAATGAGAATATTTGTCACGTTGTGTCAGACTAGCAAAGATTTCATTTATTTAGGTTTTTTTGAGACAACTCTATGTAGTTTAGGTTGGCCTTGAACTCACAGTGATCCTTTTGCTTCAGCCTACCGAGCGGTGGGATTACAGGCATGTGCTGCTTTGCCTGACTAGCAAAGATTTTTGAAAATTATACTACACTTTTGCTGGTGAAGGGGTAAATACTGGATGGGAATGTACCTTGATGGAGCATTCAGGGGAAGTAATTGGGCACTACTAAAATGTAAATTGCTTACATCCAGCAAGCCTGCTTAAAAGTACCTACCATGCAGAAAGGCCCATTTATAGTGATGTCCAGGGCTGGAATGTCTCTAAAAAGGAACAAGGGGCAGGGGACACTGTGACCTTCTGACAGAATGAAAAGGTCAAGTTATGCCATTATACCAGTAAGGATGGTAAAGACTGAGGTGGCTCTGTACATACTGACATGGAAAGAAGAACACACTATACCAGGGAGGGAAAAGAAATTATCCCATTTTTACGGAAAAAAAATGGGAGTTTATACACATAGCTATGCATAAAACCACGAGATGGCTGGGCATGGCAGTCCACACCTGTAACCCTTGCACTTTAGGGAGCTGGAGTAGGACATTGCAAGTTCGAATACAGCCCAGGCAGCAGAGGGAGCCCATCTCAAAAGCAAAGCAAAACAAGCAAACATAAAACCTGCGGGGATATAGCTCAGTGGTAGAGCACCCCAAGGTCACAACCCCCCCAAATACACATACATCTAAGGTTTTTTTTTTTTTTTTTGTCTTTTTACTTTTTATCGGTACCAGGGATCGAACTCACGACTCCCTGCTTGCAAGGCAGGCGCTTATGCTGCTGAGCTAAATCCCCAGCCCCTCATCTAAGTTATTAATTAGCTCAATGCTCACAAGTCAGATACAGTTGTAACCAACCCCTTAGTGCCTCTGGGGAAACAGAGGCACAAGAGGGACAGACGTGTAGGACCTGGGATTCAAACTTAAGTGCTTCTCTCACACTTCAAGCATGATCCTCTGTGGCCTCTAAATCAATCAGTTATTAGCAATCATCTAACAAATATTTATCTATTACATCGCTTTTGCTATTTCATTTACTCCATGAAATAAATGTACCTCACTCCAGAATAAAGTGGCTATTATCAAGAAATCAACCAATAACAAATGCAAGCAGGATTGTGGGTAAAATGGGGCTTTTCTCTACTGTAGGTGGGAGTATAGTGGAAGTGCAACCACTGTGGAAATCAGTGTGGAGATTCCTCAGAAAACTAGGACTAAATCAGGTATGGTGACACACACCTGTAATCCCAGCAGGAGGCTGAGGCAGGAGGATCACTGAGAGTTTGAGATCAGCCTGACCTACAACATGAGTTTAAGGCCCGCCTCAACTATGTAATGAAACCCTGTCTCAACAAACAAACAAACAAACAAACAAACAAAAAACTAGGATTGGAGGTACTGTTTGACCCAGCTGTTCCTCTTCTTGGTATCTTCCTGAAAGAATTAAAAGCATCATAACACAGCAGTATACTTACCCATATGTATAGTAGCACAGTATGCTAAATCTTGGAAACAACCCAGATGTCTATCAACCGGTAAATGGATAAAGAAGTTTTTTTTTTTTTTTTTTAATGTAATGGGATACTACTTTGCCTTAAGAAAGAAGGTTGAGACATTTCTAGGTTAACAGATACATCATAAGATCATACTCCTCAATGAAATAAATTGGACACATTGTGTAAATTCTGCATTGTTTCTCTGTGTGAGAAGCTGTAAATAATCACCAATATGTATACTAAGTATTGTAAAATAGGAAGAAAACGTTCAAATGAAGAGGCTGACAAGAGAGCAGGGAGGAAAGAAAGGAAAAGTTTAAAAAATGTGAAGGAAAACAGAAACAAAGCTTTTGTAAATGAGGAGGAGGGAAAGTCAAGGGAGGGGAGGGGAATGGGAAAAAAAAGAAACAAGTTATATCACCTACGGATACAAATTCCCTATAATGAATGCGTTCATTATGTGTATCTAAAAGGTACCAACAAAATCTGATTTAAAAAAACAATTACACCCTGAACCTAGGACCTGAAAAGAAACCACAGAGCTGGTAAGCAGCCAGCGTGCACTGTCTATCCTAGTGGACAGCTCCGGTGACCTTCAGGGTTAGCACCCAAGTCTCTTGGCAAGGCTGAGAAGCGTGGATGATATGAACATGCTGTGTTCCCTCCAGAGCTCCTGCTGTGCTTTTCGTCTCTCCTGCACAAGTGCTCATCTTCTTAGGCTTTCCTATGCCATCAGGGGCTGGCGGACAGGGGAACTGAAGATCTCAAGAGAGCTCTGTTTCCTTTCCATAGGGCCTCAGGTGGGGCTGGGGAAGGTACAAGGGACAGGGCCTCCAGCAGGCTCCAGCCGAGCACCTTTGTAAGATCTGAGGACCCTTCAAGAGGGCTGAATCCCACTGTCTCTTTCAAAAGAGAGATGGGGAAGCCAGGCGTGGTGGCATACTCCTGTAATCCCAGCACTCAGGAGGCTGAGGCAGGAGGATCGTTGCAAGTTCGACACCAGCCTGGGATTCAAAGTGAACCCAAGGCCAGCCTTAACTATATAGTGAGACCCTGTCTTAAAAAGATAGATAGAGAGATAGATAGATAGATAGATAGATAGATAGATAGATGAAACACAGGCCAAGTGGAGGTGGGCCTGTATCAAGTCATACAGGGTTCAGCAGCACAGCCAGGGCTGTAAATGTAATGGGGTACTACTTTGCCTTAAGAAAGAAGGTTGAGACATTTCTAGGTTAACAGATACATCTTGAGATCATACTCCTAATGAAATAAATTGGACACATTGTGTAAATTCTGCATTGTTTCTCTGTGTGAGAAGCTGTAAATAATCACCAATATGTATACTAAGTATTGTAAAATAGGAAGAAAACGTTCAAATGAAGAGGCTGGCCTGGATCTCTAGACTGCCAGGCCTGACTTGATTCTCGAATCACTCTGAACTCTCATCTCCAAAAAGAAGTTAACCTTCCTTACCTAGCTGACCCTCACCTGTGCTGCTTTCTGCCAAATGTCTTGGGACTGGCTGGGTACCAGTTGCCATAGCAATGGCCCACAGGACAGTTCTGTGGCTGGCAGGTGGGGGTAGGGGGTGGGGCAGGACGCCGATATGCTGAACGCCCAGCAGCAGTTGGTCAGGATCACATCAAGAAGAACCAAGCCGGACCTAAGGCCTCAGGCTCCAGGGACATCAGTGGAGCTGCTCAAGCTTCTGTCAAGGATCCCTCGGGCAGAGCAAGTATGGGTGGGGGCCAAGGAGGTCCAACTGCCCATAGGCAAGAGGGCCCGGGGAAGCAGGGGTGAGAAGCTACAAGGTTGGCTCAGATGACAGTCAGGGAGGCTGTGTGGGACAGAGATGGTAGGGAAGCCTAAAAGATGGAGTGTCTGAAAGATGAGGACTGATAGAGTGATTTAGGAAACACATCAGGGCGGGAAGGGTTTCCAGAGGAAAATTAGGACCTTCCACCTTGGTTGTAGCAAGTCCAGAGCCTGTAGGACATTTGGAAGGACCGTCTAATTTTTTTTTAGCATAAATTTTTTTTCTTGGCTGATTTTCTTTTTCTTTTTTTTCCTTGACTGTGGTTTTCATTTTAAAAACTTATCTAGACAGGCATGGTGGTGCTTACCTGTAATTCCGGCACTTGGAAGGCCAAGGGAGGAGGATTTCTGTGAATTCAAGGCCAGCATGAGCACATATTAAGATCAGCCCAGACTAGACAGAGAGGCTGTGTCTTCAAAACAAAACAAAACAAAACAAAAACACTTTAAATAAATAAGTAAAAAGAAGTAAAATAAAATTAAGTACCTTTTTAAAAATCAGTACCAGGGATTGAACTCATGACCGCCTGCTTACAAGGCAGGTGCTTATGCTGCTGAGCTAAATCCTCAGCCCTAAGATTAACTACTTTTGACATAGGGTCTTACTAAATTGCCCTGGTTGGTTCCTGACTCAGCCTCCCAGAGTGCTGGGATTACAAACCTGGCCCATCATAACCAACTACATTTTAAAATTTTAAATTGACACAATAATTGTACATATTATGGCACACAGTATAATAATTTGATACATATATTTAGTGCAATGATAGAAGATCAGGTTACTTAGCATATCTGTCTTTTTATACATTTAACATCTCTGTGTTCACAACCTTCAAACTTCTTGGTGGCAGCCTAGGGTGATGGTGTGAATCTAAGCTGTGAAGACCAGCACCAACATGTACAGGTTGCTACCAACTGTGTGACCTCAGGTCTTAGATTTTTTGTTGTTGGTGGTGGTGTTTTTGTTTTTGGAGACAGGGTCTAGTTACTAGTTCAGGCTGACCTTGAACTCACTGTGTAGCCCAAACTGGCCTTGAACCCAAGGTGAACCTCCTGGCTCAGCTTATAGCCAAGCACTACCACACTTGGCTTCTTGGACCTCTCTGAGCCTCAGCTTTCAGATGTGTATGATGGGAGTGATAGTGACAGTCTCCTTCTCTGTTGGGCTGGTCTTTGGGAAGATTTGAGGTGTTAGCTCCTGAAAGTCTGGAGCACAGGAGAGTGGTCAGTTGGGGCAGCTTTGCTATGAGGAGTAGAGGCAGTAACTGATGATAAGTCTTGGTGATAAGAGGGTTCTGGGGAGGGGCAGAGCAGTCCAGGAGGCCACTCACACCTGTCCTTCCCTAGGGTGCCCTGGCTAGCGGTGATGTTGGACCAAGTCAGGCCCAGCCAAGGCGGTCTCAGAGCACAGGGCAGAGGTCAAAGAAGGACTGCAAGCCCCGAGGGCGGACCAAGAAAGGAAGCTCCGCAGAAAAGTGGGCGGCCGGGAAGGGGCGGGAGGGAAGCTGGGGCCAGGAGGCCCCTGCCCCTGAGCCCCTGCCTCTTCCTCTTCAGGCCCTTTCCCGGCGCTCCTCGGGAACCCTCCTTCCCGTTCCAGTGGGCCTGGGAGAGCCTCATCACGGAGGGCCGGGCTCTGCTTCAGCCCAGCTCGCTCGCGGCCCCGGGCCCTGAGGCCCAGGCCCCGAGCCCTGCCGTCCCGCAGCTCAAGTCCAGGAGCAAGTGCGCAGCCAGCCTCCCAGGGCCGCTAGGGACCTGCGGCGGCGGCGCCCCGCTCTTTCCCAGCAAAGGGGAGAACCAAGGGCCGGAGCCGTCGGGCCAGTACAGCCCCCAGCTGCCAGGCAGGGGCTCGGGCTCGGGCTCGGAGACCAGCGAGGCTCCCGAGCCGGACGGCGGCAGCGCTGAAGAGACGGGGCGGGCTGTGAGCCCCGGGGAGCGGCCTCCGCGGGCCCCCGGCCGCCGGCTCCTGCAGGAGGAGCGCGCCTCCGAGGCCTCTGCGGGAGCCGAGGAGCGGGAGCACAGCGCCCCTCTCAGGAGGAAGAGCGGTGCTCGGAGGAAGGGGCCGATTTCGGGCGAGGAGGCCTTGGGAGAGGAGGAGCTGCAGGGCTCCCACAGCGCCAGAGCGCCGCAGAGGGCCAGGTCCAGGACCCGGGAGCTGGAGGAGCCGTGGGCCCAGGAGAAGCTGCACCGGCAGTTACGGCCAGAGAGCTGTGGTGAGCGCGCCGCGGGCCGGCTCCCCCGGCAGGGCGCTCGCTCTGGGCTGGGCTGAGCTGGGCTCCGCGGTGCTGGGGGGAGACTCTCCAGCGGCCCGGGTGGGAGGGTTTCCTTGACTTGTTCTCTCTGTGGACAGACCCGCAAAAGCAAACCTGGAAGACATTGCGGCAGGGTGCCGTCCAGACCTCCAACAGGAGAGGGAAGGCCCGTGCCAGGGGAGATGATGAAACCTCCATGTCTGCCAACTTTCCTAACCGCACATTCCACAAACGACAGGAGGCTACTAGGTAAGAGGGGAAAACGGGAGAGCAGGAGCCAAGGATGAGGAGTAGAGATTGTGCCAGTTCACCAAAAGATAGTCATGTGTATATTCATTCACTCCTTTCTTGATCTGTGCATCAACTTTTCCACCCACCCATCCAACCATTACACACCTCCCCATCCATCTCCACACCATCCATTCATCCACCCATTCACCCATCTCTCTTTTGATAGCTTCCATTCAACAAACCATCTGTCTCTGCCTACTTGACCAACTATCTATGAACACAAACTACTTCCCATTTATTTCCTATCTTTTTTCTGTTTATCCATTCATCTATTCTCATTGTATTCTTGACAAAAATCACTTAACCAAACCGGACAGGGTGGCACACGCCTGTAATCCCAACACTCAGGAGGCTGAGGCAGGAGGATTGTTGTTAGTTCGAGGCCAGCATGGCTACAAAGTGAGTTCAAGGCCAGTTTGACACGTATGAGACCTGTGAGAGACCCTGTCTCAAAAAAGACAAAAAAACACAAAGTCACTTAGCCATAAATGCATTAAATTATTTCTGTATTCTGTTCCACTGCTCCATATGTCTATTTTTATCCCAGTGCCATTTTGTTTTAATTATTATAGCTTTGTAGTATATTTTAAAATCAGATAGTGTGATACTCGCAGAGTACCTTGCCCCCTTAAGATTGGTTTGGTTCAGTTGGGCAAGGTGCCCAATTGTAATCCCAGTTTTCTTGGAGGTTGAGGCAGGAAGATCATAAATTCAACTGTTGACCTTAGTAAGACCCCGTGTCAAATTAAAAAATTTTAGGGGTGGACTGGACATGTGGCTCAGTGCAAAGTCCTTGAGAACAATCCACCATGCCTAGTGCAGAGAGAGAGAAAAGAGAAAGGAGACAGAAAGCATGCTAATCTTTGGTCTCTTTCATGGTTCCATATAAATGTCAGAATTATCTTTCTATAAAAATGTTATTGGAATTTTGATAAATTACACAAAATCTGATTGGAAGCAGCATGGACCACTTTACTCCCTGTAGTAGTAGGAATTGAACCCAGGGCCTTTGCACTAATCTACATCCCTAGTTCTTTTTATCTTGCAATAGAATTTCTTAAATTGCTAAATTGCCCATCCTGGGCTTGAACTTGAAATTGTCCTGCCTCAACCTACTGGAAGTACAGTCACTTGCCATCATACCTGACTTGTGGGCTATCTTTTATTTGTTGTTTTAATATCTTTTTTTTTTTTTTTTTTTTTTTGAGCTAGGGTCTCACTAAGTCACTAATTCGTCCAAGTTGGGCTTGAATTTAGCAGTATGCCTGCCTCAGCCTCCAAGAGTGCCGGAATTATACTGTATGCCACCATATTCACCTGGACTTTTTTTTTTTTTTTTTTTTTTTGGTACTAGGAATCATTAAACTCAGGGCCTTGCACTTCACATAGCACTCTGAACTTCTTACCCTGTCACCTTTTACAGGAAGTCCTCTCGTATTTCTTAGTGCTCCATAAATGTACACACAACAGTGATTGTGTTTGTTCCCTCCACCTTTCCTGAAGTGCTGGGGGCTGAGCTTAAACCTTCACTCATGCTAAGCAAGCTCTTACGCTGAGCTACCTCCCTAGGCCTTTAAACGTTATTTTTTATTTTAAAGGAGGGTTCCAAGTTGCCCAGACTGGCCTTGAATTTGTAATCCTCCTGCTTTAGCCTCCTGAATACCCAGGATTACAGACATGCACCACCACACCTGGCTTTTCTTTCTTTGTATATTTGGCCATCTTTCTGTTGGGTTGTGATTCAATTATAAATTCATCAAATATTGAGTTTATGTGTATTAAAGGTACAGTTTTAGGTGCTGGAGATTCCATGGTCATGCACAGGGTAAGGGACCCTCGTTTCATGAGGATTACATTCTACTTGGGAAGAAGGTTAATTAATAAAGAAATGATGCTTGGTGTGATGGTACATGCCTATGATCCCATCACTAGGGAGGCTGAGGCAAGAGTATTGCTGTGAGTCCTAGGCCAGCTTAATCTGTATAGTGAGACTTTGTCTCCAAAAAGAAAAGAACAATATGTGTAAATGTGTGGCTAGAGGTGGGAGATAGCTAGGAGGTAGCTGGGGTGGTCAGGGAAAGTCTGTCTAGAAGAGAGATATTTAATACACACTTGATTGATAAGCAACTGGCTTTGAGATCTAGAGAAGAGCTTTCCAGGTCAGCCTAGTTGTTCTAGCTGCTCAGCCATCCTTGCCTTTCATCCATCTATCCTTCCATTCATTGATCTCTTTAGTACTGTCTTGTTACCATCCATTCCATCAATTTGACTATCAGTTTGTCCATCCAGTTGTGCCTCAAACTGTTAGGCCTTAACCCCGCTCCTACCAGATAAGAGGCTCAAAGAGAAGAGGAAAATCTGCCCCCATCCTCAGGGAGAGTTGCTTCTTAAGGGAATTTCCCCAAGAGCCCTCTGGGCTCCTGCTCCCCTGCCTGATAGCTTGCCCTCCTCTGGGCTCCTGTTCTTCTCCCCACCAGGAGCCTGCTTCAGGCCTGGGAGCGGCAGCAGCAGGAGGACCTGCAGCAGGCTGAGCTGCGCAGGGCCCGGGAGCAGCGCATTCAGCAGCAGGTGGCCCGCTGCCTGGCTGCCTACATGCCCCGCAGGAGCCAGGGGTCCTGGGCCATGCAACGCAAGCTGGAGGAACTGAGGTAGGAACGCTGGGCTGTAGAGGGCATAGTGGGCAGAGTCAGAGAAGCTGGGCTGGGCATCGGGCCGCAGGACCCTAAGGCAAGCCAGCCAGGCCACTCAGTCCCATTTACAAACGAAGATGCCCAGGGAGAAGGGCTGAGCGGAGGTCCGCCTGTGAATAACAACAACCCCTTCTGCTGATGAAGTGCAAGGTCAAAACATTCTGCAAACACTGTCACTCTTTCAGATCTTGCTTTTCTGATTTCCAATGCCAGCCATATTTATTATAGAATTTGAATATTACAGAAATAGATAATATAAATTGGGGATGGTAGTACATGCCTGTCATTACAGTACTCTGGGAGGCTGAAGCGCGGGGAGCACAAGTTCAAGCCCAGCCTGGCAGCTTAGTGACTTAGAGACACTTTGTCTCAAAATGGAAAAAAAAAGCTGGACCTGTAGTTCTGTGTGAAGGCCCTGGATTCAACCTCCAACACCACCAAACCAAAACCCAAACAACAAAAATAGAATACTTAATGTAGAACATGAACAGCCACGATGGCCCTTTTTCTAGAGATAAATGTTGTGCACAGTCAGGTGGCCTGGTCTATTTCATTGTCTTATATCTTGACAACTTTTCTAGAAAGTAAATGTGTAAGGTATTTATTTACTTATGTATCTGTTAGTACTGGGATTGAACCTAAGAGTGCTGAGCTACATCCCCAGCCACCACCATCCTTTTTGGCTTGAGACACAGTTGCATGTAGTTCAGGTTTAGGCTGGCCTTGAACTCATGGTGATCCTCCTGTCTCAGGCTCCCAAATCCTGGAATTATGGGCATGCACTGCCATGTTCAGCTCCCCAGGGCTTTTGAAAATTTTATTTTGAGACAATTTTTTGCTAAATTGCCCAGTTGGCTTCAAACTTGGAATCTTTTTTCCTTAGCTGCTCAACTACCTGGAATTATAGCATAAGCCACCATTTCTGGCACAGGGAAATTTTTTAGAAGTTTCCATTCCTAACAGGTATCCAGACATGGTGGAGCATACTTGTAATCCTAGCAACAAGGAAGGTGAGGCAGGAGGATCACTGTGAGTTCCAGGTTAGCTTGGGCTACCCTGAAATACATAGCAAAAGTCTATCTTAAAAAGCAGAAAAATAAAAGAAATCTTTTCCTTCCAGTCCCTTGAAGTAGGTAGAATCATTGCCCCTCTTGTCTAATGGATGTGGAAACAAGAGGCCCAGAGAATGTAAATGATGGGCAAACCGCAGAGCTGGGGTTCCAGCCTCCCAGCCTCAGTACATGTTCAGCCATCTTGCCATGCCATCCATGTATTTGAGCACCCAATCCTTAGGGAAATGGCTTCAGATGGTCTCCCAAGAGCCCAGCCTTATGAAACAGCATGAATACATGTGATCACCCATGTCGTCGGCCTGAGCACCTACTGGGTGCAGCATGGCCCTTTCCACACCCTCTCTCCTTTCACCCATGGAGAGTAGATGGCTCAGAGGGAGAAGAAGTTTTCTACACTGCAGTGGGGCACCTGCTCTTTGAGTCTCAGTTGTTGTACCCCAACTTTATTTTTTTATTTTTGTTTGATTTTTTGAGACAGGGTCTCACTGTGTAGTCAGGCTGGTCTTGAACTCGTTAGGTGTCCAGGCTGGCCTCAAACTTGTAGCAGTCCTCCTGCTTCAGCCTCCTGAGTGCTCGAATATAGGCATGTGCCACCACAACCAGCCAGGCTCCCCAACTTTAGAGATGAAATATTTTAGTATATGTGCTGCAGAAGTGAGCACCCAATGAGGAAATACAAGCTCTGTGGTCAAGTGTGTTTTAGGGGGCTCCTTGGCCGAAGACTGGGGAGATAACTTCCCTTGCCAGGACTCAAGTTACTCAATCCGTTTTGGGTAAAGATGCAACACCAGGGGTCAACACTTCTATTGGAGGTGCAGGAGGAGCATTTTGAGATTGCCCCTTTCTTTCTTGAGATTTTATAGCATAAGCACATTTTTGCAGCATGGTGTCCCAGTCCTTATAGCCCTTGAACTTTATTGTCTGAACCAAATGGGAGGCTTCACCCTCCCAGAGGAACAGGCTCAAGGAGAGGTGACCCTGTAGCAGGGAGATATGTTTTCCTGTCATTTTGAGATAACAAAAGGACTGATTATCAACTGGGACTCTAAGATAGGGGTTTCCTTTCATTCCTAACAGAAATAGCATAAAGTATCCAGCAAGAAGCTGCATCCCTGTAGTTCATACCCGTTGTCCCAGCTACTTGGGAGGCTGAGACAGGAGAATGGCTGAGAGACGTAGAGAGAATATGTCTCAAAAATGAAACAACAAAACCAAAACTCAACCTGTATTTTAATTATTGTGTTTTTGTTTTTGAGGCAGGTTCTCGCTGTGTAGTTCAGGATGACTTGAAGTCACTATGTAGCTTAAGTGGGCCTCAAACTTGCAGGAATAATCTTACCTTAGTTTCCTGAATGCTGGAATTATAGGAATTTGCCACTATGCCCAGCAATTTTTTTTTTCACTAGGAATTGAACTCATGACCTTGTACTTGCCAGGCAGGGACTATGCCACTGAGTTATTTGCCTGGACCTGTATGTGTATTTTAAAAATGTGTACAGAAAAAAAAAAAAGCACATCCCAAGTGTGATAGCATATGCCTGTAACCTCAGGACTGGGGAGGCTGAGGCAGGAGGATTGCTGGAAGTGAGAGGCCAGACTGGGTTACCCTGTAAGTTCAAGACTGTCTCAAAATCTCAAACAACAACAAAAGCACACCCCAAAAAAGAAAGAAATATGCATGTGACATCATAGGGATGTATTAATAGCTGCTTGTGACACCACCCCCACCTCCACTATGACATGTATAACACCTGTGAGTACACTCAGGTGGTGAAGACCTTTTTTAAAGGAACTGTGTTCCTGCAATGGGTTCTCACATCCCCACCTTTTTCCCCATGGGAGAAAGTTACTACCCAGCACCTGGCCACAGGGCCCAACATAAATAATCCAGGTCTCACTGACTGCCCCTCTGCCTGTTGGGGGCACCACACCATAGCCTGTGGCCTGTCTTTTACACTTTACTGAAGGACCTCTGGTGTGGTATAGGGTGTGGCCAAACCAGTCCTTTGATCTCTTTATTAAAGCAGTCACTCAGCTAATTGGACAGTTCTGTTTCTTTCCCTTTCTCCTCCTTCTAAGACAAGGTCTTGCTATGTCATCCAGGCTGGACTTGAATTCACTCTGTATCCCAGGTTGGCCTGAAATTCTCAACAATCCTCTTGCCTCAGCCTCCTGAGTGCTGGCATTGCAGGTGTGCAGAATGTCCCCTGTTCAGCGGTCACATTTCTGATAAGCCCACAAACTGGACTTTTGGAAATGGAAATTGTGCTTTCCCAGTGCAGCCCAGGCCCTCCCAGGTTGTGTTCTTTATCTGCAACACATTTATTTGGTTACTCTGTCCCATTTCCTAAGCTCCATGCTTGTAAGAAGCCAAGAGACTGGCAAGCTTGTGTGGTCCATGCCAGAGCACAGCAAAGAAAACAGCTGAGAGCCCAGAAAGAGGCCTTCTCAAAGTCACAGCCAGCATCCATCCACAGTGTCCTCCTCAGCTGCAGCATGAAGGGGAGCAGGGGCTGACTGCGGGCTGTGGGGGGGCAGGCTGTATAAGCAGTGCCGGAATCGTCCTCTGGGGGTGGTTACACAGCCTAGGCTGCGCCTCTGCTTCCCAGCCACACAACCTTGGACAAATCCCTCTGCATCCCTGAGCCCCCAGTAAAACAGGCCAAATTACTCCAACCCTGGCAGACCTTGAAAAGAATCCATGGCAGGGATGGCTTTGTAAAGGTCAGAGCCAGGGCTTTCATAAACTGCCTAGTGAGGACAGGCCTGATCTGGATGTGGGACGGGTTGTGTCCAAGCTCAGCTGCCCAGAGGCCCATCTTGCCTGCAGGCGCCAGGAGCGACAGCGCTTAGCTGAGTACCAGGCAGAGTTGCAGGGCATCCAGCACCGGGTGCAGGCCCGGCCTTTCCTGTTTCAGCAGGCCATGCAGGTGAGGCTGCAGCACTCCCTGAGACCCTTTCTGAAATCACAGCCTTTGATGGCCCCAGTGCACAGCAGGAAGCCACTCATCTGTCTCCTCAGGCCAATGCCCGGCTCAGTGTGACCCGGCGCTTTGCCCAGGTGCTGTCAGCACTGGGAGTGGATGAAGAGAAGCTTCTGGCTGAGGCAGGAAAAGGAGACACAGAGGGCACCGTGAGGAAACACAGGTGAGATTGGTTGACTGGCTAAGGACTGGCCCTGTTGAACTGCCACGGAAAGGGGCATAAACACCAGTCTCACTTCCCAACAGGGAAACTGAAGACCTGAGGGCAGGGCTTTTTTTTAGAGTAAATAAGCAGCTGAGCCAGGCTAGGGGTCTGTTGCCATATGAGTGGCTGTACACTGAACCATTAGTACCATGCTGGTCACCTCACACACACTGTCCCTTAGACTGCAGAATAACCTGGTACAGAGCAGGAATAACGAAGCCTACTTTGCAAGAAGGAAAATGAAGCTCAAGGAAGGGACATCACTTGCCCAGGGCCACACAGTGAGCCAGCATGGGAGCTGGATTTGAAACTGAAGAGTCCGTGGTTCCCTTAGTCACTGGGTGGGGAGCTGTGGAGCCCACTGGTCTCTGTCTATGTCTTTAAGGAGCCACAGATCAATGGGGGTGAAAAAGGAGCCCTCTTCTCAGAGCCCTCCAAGGACTGAACCCATCAGCAGCCAGCCTGACAGGCGCTCCTCCCCCAGCCTGGACCCAGAGAAAAATCAAGATAAAAATTAAAGGCTTTGTGGCAAATACCGTGTGAGCTCTCTGAGGTGTGGAGGAAAGGTTGTGGGTTGGGAATAGGTGTCAAGTGAGTGGCAGCGGCTTGGCTCTGTCCCCAGCTCCCAAGAGCTCTGGCTCTCCAGCTGCCCCTCACCTAGCAACATGGCTTGGTCTCTGCTCCTTAGGAGCAGTGCATTTCTTTTTTTTCTTTTTGTTTTCTTTCTTTCTTTTTTTTGAAACAAGGTCTGGCTAGGTAGCCCAGGCTGGCCTTGAATCTGAGGTAATCCCATTCCTCCAGAATGGTGGAGTTACCACCACACCCAGCAAGTTTTTTTTTTTTTTTTTTTTTTTAAAGCCAGTCAAATTTAGCAGTGTGTGTGGGGGGGTGGTATACCACCTTTAGTGACACTAATGTTAGTAAGTTCTGATAACCCACTGCCATCGGACCAGCCACCCAGCAAGTTTTTTGAAAAGCAACAACTCAGACAACTCTGTCCTGTCTCCAATATATATGATGGAATCTAGACACTCAAGAGTGACCATGACGGACTGATCTCCGTCTTTGAGGACTTCCAGTCTGGTGGGGGACGAGGACTTTAAAGGGTGCACACAATACATCCTAACATGCTGAGATTGTCTCACAGGGAGCCCACAGATGGAGCAGATGTTGGGTGGGGATGTCAGATTTTGAGCCGGGTTTGTTAATTTTAAGTTAAAACTCTTAAAAATTAAAGCCCTTCTCTGAGTGAATGAGTGACGCGAGAGAGAGGGCGGGCAGGAGGGAATGCAGCCCAAGGGAGCAAAGAAAACACACTCGGGTGTGTCGAATTTTGCATTCCACTTAATGGTTTCACAGACTACTGAAGCTCATCTGGACCTCCTTAGCAGCTTCCAGGTTAAATAAACCCAATTCAGGGAACGTGGGAGGTCAACATTCTAGCCATGGCAGGGCTTCGAAACTGGGCAGGGCAGCTATGGGGGTGGAGGGTTCTCGAGATAGAGGAAAACACCCCACCATATTCGACACCTGGGAAGAGCTACGACCCCAGGAGTCCTACTTGAGGGGCACCCTTTGGAAAATGGGGAGCCAGCCTTGGGAAAAAAAACAGGAGGCACTGAACACCCCGCGGTGTGTCGGGGAGGGTGCTCTCAACTTATAGGACGATGACTTAAAAGTCCTCTAGGTCCTGGGACCTTCAAAATTCACGATTGCCATCTACCGCACGTGCGAAAAGACCAACTGCGTGCAGCACAGCGATCTCAAAGACCGACGCTTGACTAGACGGCTACGCTTGCGCAGTCGGGCTCCAATTCTGGCTTTCCCATAAGTCCTTGGGGCACGGAACTAACCACGGACGTAGCCGCTCTTGACTTCCGGCAACAGGGTTGCGGCTGCCGTGTGACCCGGAAGTGGTTCCATTTTGCGTCGTCGGCGCTCCGCGGCGGCCCGGCTCAAGGCGGAGGTACTACAATGGGGTCGTCAAAAAAGCATCGCGGAGAAAAAGAGGCGGCCGGAACTACTGCTACGGCCGGCACTGGGAGCTCCGTTGAGCAGGCGCCGCGGCATCGGGAGCACAAAAAACACAAGCACCGGAGTGGCGGCGGCGGGAGCGGCGGCGGTGAACGACGGAAGCGGAGTCGGGAGCGTGGGAGCGAGCGCGGGAGTGGGCGGCGCGGGGCAGAAGCTGAAGCCCGTAGCGGCGCGCACGGGCGGGAGCGCGGCCAGACAGAGCCCTCCGAGCGGCGAGTGAAGCGGGAGAAACGCGATGATGGCTACGAGGCCGGTAGGGCCCGTGTCTGTGCGGGGGGGGGGGGGGGCGGGGCGGGAGTTTGGGGCGCTTGGCCCCTGGTGTGCGGACAGGTCCCTGGGACTCTCCAGGCTCAGGCTCCTCCAGCGCTTAACGGGTCGTGCCCTAATTGTTTTGGTTAGAGGTTGACAGCAATTGTCTGGCATCTTACAGCCCCTTAGCAAATGTTGGGTGAGGGCTAGGGAATATAACTCAGCGGCATATGCGCCTGCCTGACAAGCGCAAGGTCCTGAGTTCAATTCCTGGTGCAAAAACCAAAAACAAAGCAGTAAGTGTTGGGTGAGTGAAGAAGTGTCAGTATATGCAGAGGCGAGAGAACACCTGACGTGATGGTACAGGGCAGTAATTCCAGCCCTTCGGGAGACCGAAGCAAGAAGATTGCATATTTGGTCAGCCTGGGCAATTTAGTAACATAGTGAGAACGTGTCTCAAAAGAAAAAAAAAAAAAAAAGATTAAAGGTTTTAGCCAAGGATTTAGCTCAGCTGCATAAATGCAAGGTTGAGTTAGATCCCCGGTGCCAAAGAAAAAAGGGCTGAAGATACAGGTGTGTGAAGGCTTTGTGTTCAAACTGCAGTACCAAAAAATAAGTTGTGTACCACGTCTTATTTGAGGTGGTAAGATAGGCTGGAGCCTGAATTCGAAGGACCCTGTGCTGTATTGTAGGCCCTGTTAAATTTGGGCTTTAAGGGTGGTAGAGAGTTACGGGTTTTTTGGTTTTTTTTTTTTTTTTTTTTTTTTGTTTTTTTTTTTTTGAGACAGGGTTTCATCATACAGTTCAGACTGGTCTTGAGCTCACTTTGTAGCCCAGGTTGCTCTCAAACTCACGACGACCCTCCTTCCCCAGCCTCCAAGTGCTGGGATTACAGTTATGTGCCACCACAACCAGCTGGAGTTACATATTTGAGTTGGGGAGTGAGTTGATTAGATTGAAGTTTTGTGAGAAGTCACTGCGTATAAATATGTGATCAAAAGTAGGACTGCTGGGGATTTAGCTCAGCGGCATAAGCGCCTTCCTTGCAAGTGTGCGGTCGTGAGTTCGATCCCTGCTACCGATAAAAATGAAAAAGAAAAAAAAAAAAAGTAGGACCGGAGACCCAGAAGTCAGGAGAGCTGTAAAGCCACCAGGTCAGGGTTGATGGTGACCTGCACCAAGGCAGCAGTAGTGGGTTGGAGAAGGAAGACGTGTTTTGGAGGAGTGTTTTAGTGTAATGTAGTGTAGTGTTTGGATCAGAGTGGAAAGAAGAAAAGAGTCTAATACCTTGTATTTGGGGGTGAGCATTTAGATGAATGATGGTGATATCTGTTGAAACTGAGGACTTTGGAAGAGAAGATTTGACGCAAGAGAAAGGAAGTCAGGTTTGGAGAGTACTGAGGTGGTTGTGCACGGAGCAATTCAGGATTGGGGCGGGATAGAGTGATTTTTGGGCTTGTGAATGTTTAGGTGGCCAATGAAGCCTTCTGAGAGTGTAGAGTGAAAAGACAGGGTAAGTGATACAACCTGAGAGATGCTAGTAGTGTAACAGTGGCAGATGAAGATGCTACAAAGAAGGAGAGTAGTCAGAAAGGAAAAGCAGAAGCTCACTGGTGATGGGGGTCTGTGGGTATTACTAGGAGGGCATGATCAATAGTGTCCACCATCAGAGATTGACAGACCAGAACTGAAAGGAATCTGTTGGATTTGGAACTAAAGAGGCAGGTGACCTTGTAGAGGGCCTAGGTGGAGCCAGGGACCCTGGGGATTAAACAGAAGTGGGCTGAGGTTACAGGAAAGGAAGTGCTCATCAGTAGGTGCTGGCGGAGGGAGCCTCCCTGATGGTGTCAGACCTCCTCTGTGGTGCTCTGTGAAGTTGCTCACTGTGTGTGAGACGGCTGGAGCAGGTCCCAATGCTTGTCTGTGCCTCCTAACATCCAGCACAGCACAGTTTCTTTACTTCACAATGCACAGAGAACACAGAATTGCTGCTGATACAGTCCCAGAGCAGGGGAGGAAAAGACCTGGGATGACCGCTGCTGGGAAATTCAGGGCAGATACTTCTGGTTAGTAGTTGAACAGGACTTCCTCAAGGTCCTGATAGGGTTTTATCGATCAGAGGGGGGACCAGAGAGGACAACTGAGGTTGAAAACAATACCATGTACAAAAGTGGGTAGAAGCTGAGCCTGGTGGCATATGCCTGTAATCCTAGCATTCTGGAGGCTGAAGCAGGAGGATTGTTATAAGTCGACACCAGCTTGGGCTACAAAGGGAGCTCAAGGCTAGCCTGAACTGCATGAGACCCTGTCTCAAAAACAAAACAAAAAAGGAGATGGAGCTGATCATGGTGGCACATATCTGGAATCCCAGCACTTGGAGAGGCCAAGGCAAGAGGATCACTGTGACTATCAAGGCCAGCCCCAATTGTGTAGTGAAAACCTGTCTTAGAATGAAAACAAAACAAAACCAAGAACAAAGGGGCTGGGGATTTAGCTCAGCGGCATAAGCTCCTGCCTTGCAAGCAGGCAGTCGTGAGTTTGATCCCCAGTACCAATAAAAAGGAAAAAGACAAAAAAAATAAAAAGCCAAGAACAAAAAAAAAAAAGAACAGTGGGTCATCTTTGACCCTATAGGTAGAGCCAAAGGTGCTGGGCTTAGGGGGTGTTGTGTTTAGCTCCTGAGCTGTGCTTTTTGTTTTTGCAGCTGCCAGCTCCAAAGCTGGCTCAGGAGATGCCTCATCACTCAGCATCGAGGAGACCAAGTAAGTACCATTTCCCTGTCTTTGGCTTTTTTCTTCTGTAGCAGGCAGTTTGTGGGGCAGCCTCCTGGGGAGGCTTTGTCCATTATGGTGCCAGCTGGATTTGGGAAGGATCTTATATGTTATCCTAGCTGCTTTTGAGTCACAGGGAAAGAAACTAAGAGCCAAGCAGGAGGTCTTTGGCTAGTTATTGGCAGGCCAGGCCAAGCACCTGCGCTCCCCGGCCTGAGGGGTGCGCCTTTCCCAGTGTCCTGGGCTGCCCAGGTCAGGGCTGTACTTTGGACCCTTAAGACCACTTATTCCACAATTTTTGCTTCCTGTCCAGAAATGTACTCAA